ATAGTTTGTTTGAGATAAGTGAGATCTTTGCACATTCTAAGGACACCAGGAGGGGTTTGTGGCCCAAGGAACTGAGGGAGTGAATTGGGCTCCATCTGGGGATCCCAACATGGAGCAGGGTTTATGGCCCAAGATCAGACCCAACAAAGCCCCTTCTGTCCTGCTGCTCAGGGCAGGATGGCACCAGTACGTTTGTTAATTGGGGAAACAGTCAAGGGGGCAAGAAAGGTCAGAATTACACCTTAAAAGGTAAAAACTAACCTGCTAGAATGGAATATGTGAACAGGGGTGGGAAACTTAGAGGATCATTGGAAGCGTCGGATGGGCTGTGAACCCTGGAGTGCCCAGCCAGTGGGGAAACAGGGGAGGGAACTTTGGGAATAGGGAATATAAACCGTTATTCACCTGACTATGGGTGTGCCTGCTTGTTTAGGTCACCCATTCTTGCAAGAGCGTAAATAACCTGTGCTTTGTTGAAGGGTCTGTGTGGGCCTGTTCGTTGGCACCACAAACGTTTCTCAGAGGGCTGCACCCGTATGGGGAAAAAACCCACCTTTTTCACCCATTTATGGCTCCTCATGACAGTAAAGTCCATGATTCCCTCCCTGTGCCTGCCCTGGGACAGCACTTGCCAGACAAGGGGACAGTCCTGGTGAGGTACAGGGAGAATGGTGGTGGCTCCAGCTCCCCTCAGCTTGGACCGTTCCCCTCTGGACTTCACCACCTATGTGGGGCAAAAAAAGCCTTTTTCACCCATTTATGGATCCTTTTACCATTAAAACCTGCGACTCTCTCCTTGAGCCTGCCTGGGAAGGGCACCTGCCACACAGGTTTATTCTTCCTCAGAATTCTGATCCTGCCAGCTAAGGGAGCCCAGCCTGCTCCTTGGGGATCTCCATTTGCCTGCCAGGATTAATATCCCATGTATTGGATTACTATGCACCAAAACCACCCAAAAACCATCATAAAACAAATTTTGAAACCACTTTTGCTTCTTCATCTGTACTGACAATTCAGCATTTCCCTTTCAGTGTTCTGTGTGCTGTAGCTCTTCCAAATACAAGGTGTGTTTAATCAGAATATAAACACATTGATGTCAAAATGCACCTATTGATTTACAGGCCGTCTTTTGCTGCTGCTCCTCCAGGCTTTGACAGTAAAGAAGATTATAATCTTCTTGAGATATTTTTTTTCAGTCTGTGTAGAGTATGTGAAGAGTTTCCCTTTGTTTGGTTTTTCTTTTTTATGAAATAGATATAACCAGTGGTGCAGATAGCTTTGGCTATAAACTTGAGGCCAATACTTGTTCTTGCAGTCACCCTTTTTGAATAAAAAAAAAAAAAGACAATCCACCATTTCACTGCCTGCATTTCGTGCTCTAGGAAAGCACTGTTGTGTTCAAATTACTGTCACCAAAGGAAAACATTTAGGGCCCTTATAGTTTTTTTCACCCACTCTTAAAAAAGTGACATCTGTTTTGCTGCAATTAAGGAGAAACACGACCAAGAAGAGCTTGAAACCTGCAGTTTGTCACTGCTGTGGGACAGCTGTGGCAGTTACCTTTGGAAGAAGTCCTCTGCTGCAAGAATACTTGAAAAAACATTGGGATGGAACTTTTCAGAAACTGAGCAAGGTCAGGTTGGACGTGAGGTTGATGCAGAACGCTGAAGCTGGATTGTGTCCCAGTTGCTCAAAATATGGGCAGATGATAATGCTGGGTGCTTTGCTATGAAACATGTTGGTTTGGGTGAACTTTCTCAGTGATGGTTGGAGGTAGGAAGGGGGTTTGCAGGGCACAGGGAGCAACAAAAGGCAATGAGAGGGAATTTGGATGACATGGGAGGAACAGAAAGCAAGACAAAGTGTATGGAAGGAACAAAATAAGGGATGGGAAAGTACAGAACAAGCTGGAGGAAAGGGGATGCCCGGGAGCAGCCTCATAATTGGGCAACAGTGTTTAGATTTTCCTCAGAAGCCTCTTCCAAGTGTCACCAACTTGCTGATCAAAGGCTTCCCAAGTCAGAGGGTGTGCTGTATTTTATAGCCATCATTTTCATGCACTTGTCTGTTCTCTCCTCAAAAACTTGGGGCATCTGCACCATTTATGTAGCCAAGTCCCACAATTTAACTTAATGCCACGACACTAATCACTTCTCTGTATTGTTCTGAACCTGTCACCAGACAGTTTCACCTGTAACCCCTACAGGTGAAGAAATGGGAAAGCTAGCAGTCCCTGTTCAACCACTTTGGTAACTTCAGATTTTATAGACCTCTAGCTAACTTTTTAAAGCAAGACCTCACCTCTACACAGAGCTGAAGATGGAGGTGCATCATGAATATCAAAGGAGGCTTCATTATGTTCTCTTTCCTACCAATTGTTGGCAGAGTCCTGCAGGTTGGCTCAGGAGATTTCAGCAGTGAAGATCATTGCTGCATGATGTGATGAAAATCTGTCCCAGGCCTTGATGACAGGATGGTCACGGGTAGATTCCTACTGCTCAGACTCCTTTTTAGCCTTGGTTTGATTTGGAATTGGGAATCCAGCAAAAGGACTTTCAAGGAAGTCACATCAACTTCCTAGTGGCAGGTATGTAGTTGGATGTTAGGAGGTGAGGGGTAGTCTCAGGATGTAGAGGACTTTCAGAAATGTTTTCAGAGATGATCTTGACCTGCTAGCCACATCTGTGTCTGTGGATAATCCCCAAGCCCAGGACTGAAGAGTAGGATTCATGGGTTCATTTCATACATCTGGGAAAGGAACAGGAGGATCTCACTGCACACACACACAAGTTGATCCCAAACTGACTCTGAGCTGCCACAAAAGCCAGGCTCTGAGAGGTCTTGGGAGCAATGCTCCCAGCAGAGTTTGGAAGGGATTAATACCATTGTTCTTGGTGCTGGCAAGATTCCATCGGGAATGCTGCATGCCATTCTGGCCATCTACAGTGAGGAG